TTGATCACCTCGGTGTACCCATCGCTCGTTTGCCCCCTTCTCTTATAAAAAAACCAACATTGTCAAACAAATTGAAGCTTACTATTACTCATTATATTTATATTGTCAAACAGATTTTATTAATTTAATCAGTTCAATACAGTTTGTGTTTACACAGTTATTTTGTTTGTCACTAGAGATGTATATAAGCTTACAAAGACAGCAGATATTTATATAATAGCATTATTATTTTCCCCAGGTTTAGCAGTAGACCAGCCAGTCACCGAGGTGTGTCTCGGATGCCTCTGTCAAGCGGTATCAGGTTGCAAGCAGGGTCTGCAGTGCGATGGTGACGCGTGCGGTCTCTTCCGTATCACGTGGGCGTACTGGGCTGATGCTGGAAAGCCGACCATCGATGGTAGCTCACCTGAAGCACCTGGAGGTAAAGTCACGAGATTACATAGAATAATATCTTTAGTGAATATTAAATTAAATTTTTAAGCTGTTACTTGACTTTCGTTTTCTATGTTTTGTATATAAAGATGAAAGAGATCGTTATATGTTTAAATAACAATTTTACTTTATTATTTCAGCTTACCCCACATGCACTAACGACCCTGTATGCGCCGCCAGAACTGTTCAGCTTTACATGAGCCGATTTGCTCAGGTAAATATATTTTTTTATTATAATTAACAATTCAGCAAATTCAGGTAGCCGGGTACTCGTTTGCCAACCTATACATATAAATCGAAGAACACGACATGACATTGAAGAATCACATATGCAAAAGAAGACCACGGGTTTCATGGTTGAAAATGTCATATTTCTGTCATTGTTCTTTATATAAATTACTAGCTGTTGCCCGCTACACCATCCGCGTGGAATTAAAAAACCAAACTGTTATCAATCTATGCCAAATTTCATAAATATCATTGAGCCGTTCCGGTTATACCTTCTGGCAAACATCCATCCAGCCAAACATTCGCATTTATAATATTAGTAAGATGTAATCTGAAAATTGAACTTATATGCGTTCTGAAAGCTAGATAGCCTTTTAATCCATGTAGTCTGCTACTAAACAAAGAAAATACAAAGATATAAAAACTAAAGTTCAGTGCAAAAAAACGTACAAGATAGCATCAGTTCCCGCCATTAAATTTTAAAGGCCACTTGAATCAGGAACATAAAGATCGATAAAAACACTTGCACTTTAATAAACAACTACAATATATATAGAGTACAATAGCATAGAGTTATAAATTAATAGATTAGTTAAAAATGTAAGAAACAATGTTCCAATGGCAAAGTATACCAAAAGGATATTAGCATAATAATGTGATTAATATATCACCATGGATTAGATATTAAATGTAGAAATATAATAAGTATCGTATGATTTACAATATGCTCTTTATAAATCTTTTTCAACGGATGTTAATCTCTGAACTATTTGTAAAACCATTCACTGGCAGCTCTATTTATTTTATGTCTATGGAAGTGTCAAGTCTGTGGGCGTTTGATCATGTCAATAGACTTGCTCCAGCTCAGCCATTGGTATTAGCATAAGGCGCAGCCGAGCGCGGTGACATCATACGCTTAAATGCCAGACTTTGACTTTGAACAGACAGGACCTGTCATTAAAAATGAACAATAAGTTGAACTTGCTTGTGTGCTCAGTTTGTCTGTGTAATTTTTTTGGTCACAACACCTTGATAAAATTGTTTCAGTTTTACGTTAACAATCACACTCGAAAAGTACATGGTATTGTTATTGGCAGCGCTTTGCCTAATCCGTGTTTCTATAGTCAAAGATCAGCTAACGTCACCGGTCCGCGAATAAATAACAACAATAGATGTCAATGGAAGCCCATTTATCTTGATTATAACTAGTTTACTGTCTTAACCAGTTTTTCATTATAATATTCAAGCATTATGACAGCTCAGAGATAGTTGCGAGCGCGCGAATAAGGCTGTATCTTGCCCCTACGTGTATCCAATGTTCTCTTCAGAGTATTGTGTTAAATTAGAGCTGCCGTAAAGTTTGAATAGCACTGTAGCTATTATCAATTTCACCTTGACCTTGGAAATTATCGATTCTTTAAAACTCAGTGAGCCAGAGGTCATCTGTCGCAATATATTTGTAAAGACACGTCAAGTAAACAGGTATTTATAAATAAAGCAGAAAGAAGAGCTAACAATATAAATACACAAGTTACCTCTGTCTGTTGCAATATTGTCGAACAAGAATGTTGAACCAATGACGTCATTGTTACGTCATAATCTTAAGACAAAACGGCTTGTGATAACAGTGGATTCCCACTGCAGTACAAAAAATATTCCAATCGTCATGTAAACGTAATGACTGAACCGATTTTGACAGTTCAATTATAATTCGATTTTAATCCCTTCATCCCTACAGCTTCATAGGTATGCAGATCATCGGGTTTTTTGCCGCAATTTTTTTTTTCGTGTAAATGTAGTAAAATTAACTTTTTATTTCCAGGATTGTAACGGTGATGGTCAAATCGACTGCTACGACTATGCAGCTATCCACAAGTTGGGCGGCTATGGGTGTAAGGGAGACCTGCCTTTTAAGTTCCACAACACATTCAACCAGTGCCTAGCCTACGTCGCTTCTTACCAGGGTTGAGGACACGACCAATAAAAAATTAAAAAAAAAAATTTCTTCTTCAAAAACGCTCAATTTACAAATATCTAAAAACTACACATTTAAAGTGGAACAAAATGTTATTCTTATGAATGAAAATTATAAAAAAGACTGCAGATATATTTGGAAAGTAATAAATTCGTAAACATTTATTTTAGCTTTATATAATTTTAAGATCAATAAAAAAATTCGGAAGTAAATGTTTCGATATTTTATTCAACTTTCAATCCCAAGGACCGATTGATTTGTGGATTTATAAAATAAAATTAATTTAAAGAAAATACTAAAACCTACTAAGACATTTGTAAGACTCGTTTCCTAAGTAGTGAAAACCAAATGTCTTAATTATTTAATGGGTGTTAAAGATGTGTAGAACGAAAAGCAGGTTTTATACAAAGTCCATTCGCTCCGATGCGTTTCCATAGCGAACTTCAGTATTGTATAGAACTGATAATAACTTTCGATAAATGTGTTTGTCGCGTCCAGGGGGGTGTTTTCAACGTATTTTCGCTTCAAAGCGATTCCATAACGAATTAAAAAAATATATGGATTGACGCGCGACAATCACGTGACTTATCGAAAATTATTGTCAATTCTATACATATTTCAAGTTAGCTATGGAATGGCTTCGAAGCGAATGCACTTTGTTTAATGTAACAGTGCTATACGATTTTGAAGTTCGCTAGAAAGTTTCAAAGTTGATAAAAATTTAATTCTGTTTTTGCGAATATCATAAAAAATAAAATATGTAATGCATGTCAGTGACCAACGAGAATTATTTATATAAGAATTTTAGTACTTATTATGTATACGCGCACTTTAAATAGGTTATCATTCTCGAGTTGTGGTTTTCCCTTGTTTATAAATTTATACCACATGCTTATTGTTTCCTGTTATTTGTTTAATACTAGCATTTCCCGCGATTTCGTCCGTGCACAAAAAAACAAATTGATAGGAAACCATACCGACTCTGTTCTAAATCTATGCCAAATTTAATCGAGATCTAAGTTTTTTTTCATAATCATCAGCCTTTATCTGTCCACTGCTGGGCATATGTTTTTAGATTTTTTTTATAAGAACTTTTTACAAGCAATAAACGCAAAAAAAGAATATCCGAAATCGATCCAGCCATTTACGCTTAATGTCGCGACGAAGGGAAATAGGATTTTTTTTGCATTTATATATATTATATTATAATATAAATTGAGTTCTCTAACATTATGTTTATTTTTTGTTATCTCTACGCTATATAAGGGAATATCACTTAAACTGTCAAGTAGTCGTCAAAAGGAGTTCGGAGGTAACAATTGATTTCTTATTTTTACTTTAAGTTTTAGTTTTTTTTATTTTATTTTAGTGTTTTATAGAAATTAAGACATCAGAGAAGATTAGTAAGTGTATATTTAACGTGCACGTGAAATTAAAAATAATAAATACAGCTTACGTTACTTAATTTTTGAAATCGCTGGAGTTTTTGAATTCGTTACATACAACAGCTTTGCCTGCGACATCAAACGAGCGGCATTAAAAAAAACACAATTCTCTCTACATCTTCTCCAAAGTTGATGAAGTGCTAAGATCCGTTGAGCCGTTCTTGAGATAAATTCCAACATTTGAACTTTCGCATTTATAATATAAGTAAGTAAATGTTAACTTTATCTGATTAGTGTGTTAAGTGATACACTAAATAATATTTAACAATAAACTAACAAAGAATCTATAATATGATTTTAAATAAAACATTAAAAACGAATAATAATAATATAAGTAAGATTTGTAATCGACTACCATTATACCGATAGTCGTATCGGTAAATGGACTGATAGCGAAGAGCTTCGACCAACATCTCAAGAAGCTCTCGCTAAACAGTTGGATTAAGGGCCCGATACAAAAGGCAGTTATCCTAGAAACCGCGCGCATCGTGAGAAGGTTCCTGTCTCTGCAGCCCTGACCACTGGTTGTTTGAGTCATGGGATTCCGCAGCCGGTGGTGTTCTCTTTTTAATATAATATGTTTTGTATATATGTATATATATATATTTTTTTTATATGAAATGTATTATATTAGAAATGTGATAAATAAATGTATATTATAAGTAAGATTTATAAAATATAGACAAATCTAACCTTTTAATTCTTGCTTGACATTTTATGATAATTTTACATTTGACTAGACTTGATAAATCATACGGGGACGAGTCAATGTCGCTCGGACAAACGTAAAGATTTTTATTCACTAAAACAACAAAACTGAAATGATTTTAAATAATTATTTTATATCTAAAAAGTATTATAACATCCAATATTATCATTGACTGTTACATATTTTTTTAAATACTCGTAATCGACACTTGTTAGGGTATATTAAGTTTATGGAAACTGTTATTAAATAGTTCAAACTTTCGTGAGACATTATAATAAACTTATATAAAAACGGCTAAACACTCACATATATTCGTCGTTTGTCCCTCGCTCAAAAAACGGGCCGCGTCCGCGAAATAACACCAGGCCCACTCACCCTGATGAAGGGCCCCCGATGGACTCGAAACTAGTCGGTGCCACCACCGGACGAATATGCGTAAGTGTTTAGCCGTTTTATATATGTTTGTTATTAAATGAACTTCTATTTACATACTTTTTCACATAACATTTACTACCCTTACTTTAAATTGTTGTGCAATCTTAGCAAAATAACTGATTTTTTTAAAGGTAAAATGAAACTCATAATTTGTATTATCGCAACTGGGATATTGTTCGGAAATGTATCAACGAATATTTCACTTGAAGGTGGCAAAGCGATGCATTTCTGTGGTAGAACCTTAATCGATGCTCTTATATTACTATGTACCATGGAAGAAACGCATTCATCTGCAGAAGTTCAACCATCAGAACAGTATATTCTCAAAAGTAAGTATAACACATTTTTGGTAGAGTCATTACACATTCCCCACCGAGGGGCTCGGAGCCTACCCTAAGGTATAGGTGTCGTAAGACCGTCGGATAAATGTACATATGTAAATCGGAAATCGAAAAACACATTGCTACATGGCGGAATTCGAACCCAGGACCTGCAGATCGCAAGTCAAGTGCTTGATCCCTGAGCCGCCGACGCTTATTATATTAGTACCTTTTAATAATTGTCTAAATATGCGAATTCACTACCTTCGAAGTATCACTACCCTACAGAACAAACACGATATATGTACTCTATCTCTCTATTATACTTCTAAAGTACGTTCACACACTGGGCGGAGAGCACAGTAGATTTTTTTATCCCAAATAAAATCGAGCTTTATAATATTTAAGTATAGTTTAGTTTCCCGTCTTTTCTTATCAATTTTACAAACGTAAAAAATGTAAAATTAAATCTTATTTGCTATAAAAATCTGCTTTGCTCTTCGCGCTGATCTTTTTAAACGGACCCGTAGTGTTTCAATGCCTTATTATTCTTCAGTCTCTTCTTTATTTAGAACTAATTGGTTTTTAATGTCATTAAGTGACTCTACAAATAAATTTTATCTCTTTGGGTAGCAATTAACGTTTGCCTTACACGGCCTGCAGTTTGCATTGTCTACTGAATTGCATTATTTTGTACCGAATTGAAACAGTCCGTGTATAAGCGACTTTTAATCATAAAAATCCTACTTACAGTGAACTTAGTAACTATTTTTTTTTTCGTTCACAGATACATTGAATGAAATGAAAGCTAATTACAAAGATATCAAATCGAAACTAAGCAGACGTCAAAAAAGAGATCTTGTTGATACCTGTTGTTATAAGCCATGCAAATATGAAGATTTGAGAATGTATTGTTAAATATAACATAAAACTGATTGGCAAAATAAATAATGGTAAAAAAAATAAAATAATAAGTTTTTATTTTATGTCATTGTCCGTTTATATTTAACATTTATAACTTATAAGAAGTATTTTTTTTTATATCATGAGGTGGCAAACGAGCGAGCGGCCACCTGAAATCGCTGAAGTAGCGAAGTAACGGAGGAGAGGATGCACAGAAAGAAAATATTTTCCCTTTCCATGCATCCTCTCATCCGGAAAGTCCACTTCCACTTCCCATTCTTTCCTTATAAGAAAAGGGTGGGAAGGGAAAGAGGACTAAATTAGGCCTCCGGGACGCACACTCATCAGACGAAACGCGAAATTGCTTCCACTTCACGCCTGTTTTCTGTGTGGTGGTGGTATTTCACCTGGCGAACCTGGCCAATTCGTGCGAAGATGTTAAAGCGGGTTCTACCACTCTTAGTATAGTAGTAGAATAAAGGACTTCTCAAAAATTCAGGATTATACTATTACATTGATTTGTGTAAATTTTTGGTACCGTAGGGGAAACCTTTAAAGATACCCCTCCAATTGGGGACATAAGATTAAGTCAGACGATTCTGTACTTCAAGGCAACATCTATGATAGGAGAGAGCTCCTGTGTCTACTTAAGCATTGGAATTATTTTTATTATTTTCGTATTTATATTTAGTTTAAAAAAATGAAATATTTACTACTAGTTATCACCACAAGTCACGTACGCTTGGAATATAAAAATGAATAGACTAAGGGTTATTCCACACTGTAATTTATCCCTGTTCTAAATTTCATCGAAATGCGTTCGGCTGTTCTAGAGTTATGTAGGAACTCGTAATAATTAATTTCTATATATATACATCCATCCAACCTTTGATATTTATAATAAGAAGTAAGATTATGGTTACGCAGAATAATACTAAACATACAGAATCATTTAATAAAATCATTACAAACGTCTGCTTTAAGATTAATCCGTGATCAGTAATATATTAAGACGGTCGTATTGTTTGTCTCATCTATTTTTTACATCCCACTTCTGAGAACGTTCTGAGAACTTCTTTAGTTTTTTTTTTAATACAAACGAAGCTCCGGTACGTTCGTTACATCACGTCTCAGATGTATACTAAATTAAAAAATTAAATCCGGCAAAGACGTGCAGATAGTGAAATGTGGTTAGAAACAATGGCGATTAATTTGCGGTGTGTGATAGTTTTTTGTTTCATTGTCTCGATTACAGGTATGTACAGAAATATTTTATTAGCTTAGTAATGGAGAATCTTCGTTAGTAGTAATAGCAAGCTTGTTAAAAGAAAACATATGGTTAAAAATATTAAGAGTACTCTGGATGATAAAGCATATTTGTGATCATTGTGAAATCTCAAGCATGGTTACTGTCTTTTATTCAAAGGTAAAATAGTAGTTATCTTTTTAAATTTTTTATTGTAATTTTGGATAGTTTCAAATAAAGTTATTAGATGTAAACGATAATGAAATATCATTTATAAGACTAGTTCAAATATAATATTTGCGAAAATTTGCATACACATATAGAAGACAGATTATAGAAATCATCATTAAAGAAAAACAAAACACTTAGGTTATATTTTTATCCCGATAAAAATCTTCCCTGTTAAAGACATCAACGCGCTACCTTTTTTCTTAAACGATTAACCGAAAAGAAAGCTTCTAATTATGCCTCTACAATATTTATCATTCAGGATGTAAATGTTGTTTGCGTGCTAATACTAAGGTCACAATAAATGCATGCAAATTTATTTACTGCGAATCTATGTTACTTTTATTATTAGTATATTTTTTTTACACGATCTTCCTCAGTATAATCAACTTTAAAACTTAGATTTTGATTATCGATTTGTGACAGTTAATTAAATGACGAAGAAATATTTATTTAGTTGACTTTTCGTGCTACTTATAAAGATGAATACAAACTCTGTTGTTTATAAAGGTGTGCATATATCAAACCTGAACGACACCTGCCTTCGTTGTCTGTGTCACGTGGCCGGCTGTGACCTGGCCCACGGCTGCTCGCAGGGATACTGCGGGCCTTTTTACATATCCCGAGTATACTGGGCTGATGCAGGCAAACCCACTTTGCCTGAAGATAACCCTCAAAGGAAAGAAGGTGAGCACAATATCTGTACTTCTAATTGGCTTTTAGCGTAAGAATCAATATAGAGTGTGTTAATTTCGCTTAATTTCGCTCTAAAAAAGAAAACAATTTTTATAGACCGAGATACAAAATAACAGATTTTCGGTACATTTCTTTTTGTTGTAAATGCGTACAATTTTATTCGCATAATAAAGGTCCCCATAGTAAACAGCCGCCATTTTGATTCTCACCTTTAGCTTTCTAAGGATAAATATAATTCTAAGTTAGCTTTAAGTTATCCAATTATGATTTTTATTTAATTATTGTCGTATTCAGAGTAATCAAGGGGATCACTTAGTGTAGTTTCGAAAGATATATCTCTTTGTTTTTAATATCATCATCATCATCAGCTCACTATACGTCCCCACCGAGGGGCTCGGAGCCTACCCTAAGTTCAGGGTGATTAGGCCATAGTCAACCACGCTGGCCAAGTGCGGGTTGGTTGACTGTTTTTAATATATTTACTTTTTATTCCAGCTTACGATGACTGCGCTCGGGATTATCATTGTTCAACAAAAATAGTCGAAAGCTACTTGGCAAGATTTGGAAAGGTAATTAAATATATTTTATTAAAGAGTTTATCTTAAGTTAGTCATGACAAACCAATTACGTTAGCCTAAACTTAGCTGAATATACTCGTAATACTTGTATGTAGGTGCTTTACTATCATAACGTACAAAAGGAAAATTTATACTTTTTTAATGAAAAAGCGGGATGGAAGTTAAATTTGTAACAGTTAAACTTTATGTAGAGATTGCCTGCGAAGCCATCTTCGCGATTAAAAAATGAATTAGTACCCAATGTGTTCTTCCAGGCTATGTTCTACATCTATTTTAAATTTCAGCGAGATCCCTGTAACCTTTTTGAAGATATCTTCTAACAAACTTCCATCTGTCCATCCAAATATTCGCATTTATAATATTAGTAAGCTATTAGTTAGGTAGTAAGAAGTAAGATCGATGAATAATTTAAAAATAAAATGACGTACGACGTTTTCAGGATTGCAACAGTGATGGTGTGACGGACTGTTATGATTACATGATGATCAACCACCACGGCGGCAACGGGTGCTCCGAGCCCCTGCACCTCACCAGCCTGGGCAAATTGCGTTTGCAGCTGTACCAGCAGTGTCGACTATAACCTGCAGATCAGCTTCCAGTAGCAAATATTATGGCTTGCAGACTCTAGTCTGTAAGAATGGATAGGCGATTGGAAATTAATTGCGAATCACACACACCACCGCTACAAGCCTTACATACCTTGAGCGTTAAAATGACGAAAATCGAATAGGCACAAAATACTACGTTTTACAGCCAGTCCATTTCTAGAGGTCAGTTCTTACAGACGATCATAAATATTAAACAACGCCCTCTTGTGGAAGATTAAATAAATTTATTATTTTAAGTTTTCTTAGTCTTAAAAAAGTAACTTATTTACTATTACTATTACGACAATGAACTATTTCTTAAATAAAACGTGTGATAGTTTTTTAATAATTTTAAGTTGCCCTCAAAATAAAATATAACCTTTTAATACTAAGTGGAATTAAATAACAAAATATGTAAAATAACATTTTATTCGCATTAAAGTTACATCAATATATTTTAATTTTTAATGTTTATTGTGTCATTAACTATAACTTTTACAATTATAACTTATCTTTTTAAATATGTAATAAAAAAAAATAATTAGAAATCGAAATATATTAATGTCTATCATTGTTAGTGTATTAACTTTATAATCAATTTGCTTAATTAAATGTAATCGAATATATTTACATCGTAAAACTAAAATATTAAAGAAATAAAAAACGCTTTTATTGATTTTATTAGTACGTAATACAATTCCAATAAAAAATCGGACACATCACCCTGTATATCTAAAAGTATGTAATTATCGATAAAGTCTTTTATCTCCCATAAAGTACTTCAAAGGTGAGATATAAGAAGTACATAAAGTAATATAAGTTCACTAATTTGTGACCAATTATAACTAAAATAAAACTTATACCTACCTATAGTTTAAAAAATAAAGCACCTTATTATGAAATAACTTTGAAAACATGGCCGTATTTCTTACATAATTTCTACAACTTAAAAATAATATATTTAACGTTTTTATATTAAGGTCAGGCAAAAGTGACAAGAGGAGCAGGAGACTGCCATTGTTCGTTGTCCGCTTCTTCGTCTGACTCGTCAGGAAAACGAACCTGAAAATATTACTCTTTTAATCACTAATTTGTAGCTCACATTTTATATTTTTGTAGTTAAAATTATTATTTCGTATTTATAAATCAATTAAAATTCTTTAATGTTTAATTGTCGATATTGTTTTTTTTTTCGTTTTATCTGTTTTGCTTTTTTGTTGCCCTACCTCGTGTTGTGTAAATGGTGTGAGAACAAAGGGGCCAGCTGAAATCCTGCGCAGGAATGGTCAAGGCCCTCCCTGCACCAACTGAGCTGGCCACTTTTTTTTTTGATTGTTTGTGGCAATAAATAAATATTCTATTCTAAATATATCAGATTTCTGAGATCAAAATCTCCGTATAAAACATATTGTTATCTCTTTTATGACAATAATAATAACATGATGATAGGTTTAATACAGATATTCTGGCATCAGAAACCCACGGTAAATCTTACATTAGTTCAAAAGTACTGGTACATACCCATGGTGCTAGTTTTTTGCTATTAGCTTGGAGAGAACTCGCTTGGGTAGCTTGCCATGCCTGAAATAAAACGATATTACAAATTATTAAATTAATTCCAACGACTATTACATTAAATAACTAACTGAAACAAATCAAATTGATGTTACTTTAACATTTTAAATGCATGTTATTGAAATGAGTACATTGAAGGTGAAGACTTTGCTGTTGGAAGCCACTTTAGTTTACAGCGTCACGTGACCAAACTTTGGGTGCGGCAGTTAAAGTATTAAAATACTTTGCACAAACCTGGTATGCATCATTAAAAGCATGAGCGAGTGACAACGCGAGCGCCCTCGCCCGCTTGGCCCTAGCGCATACAAACACATGCACCACGTGGTTCTCCTCCGACCCACTCTCCTTTTTCCCTTCTACCACAGCAAAAACACGCGCGTTAGCCGCGTCCGCTGAGCAGTATGATATTCTGGAAAGTTTACACATTTTGAGGCAGAGTTCGCAGCAGTATAAGCGGCAATGTCCTGCTCTACCAGTGCAATACCACGACAATACAGAAGATAAGCGTGAAGTTGAAGTATTTTCGCGTTTCGAATGCCGAGGGCGTATGCCGGTGGTCAAATTCTAGTCCTCTTTTCCAACCCTTTTTGTGTAAGGTAATGGGACGAATAGAAGGGGAGACTTTCAGCACGTCCGCTCCTTCGTCTGAAGGTAGGCATCTACAGTCTACAGCCTTTTAACTTTGTTCCGTATGCCTATGGGAATAACGGCCACTTTTGCTATATATCGCCGTTTACTCATTTGCCACCTTCTACTATAGGTCTCTTTGTCCTGTTGTATATTAGACGTAATAATCATTATTGTAAGAAATTGCATTAATTATGTTTTATATCCCCACCGAGGGGCTCAGAGCCTACCCTAAGTACATATGTAAATCGAAAAACACATTGGTACATGGTGGGATTTGAACCCAGGACCTGACTGACCACCGACGCTCTTAATTGTTAAATTGCTATATTTATCCAATAATCTTTGCCCTTATTAAATACGGTAAAATAACAAATATCATACATAATTACCTGTATATTGACACACTAAGAACATTCTGCTGCGAGTCGACGTCTATCACCAAAATTCCTTTCGCACTTATATCTAAAGTCACTCGTTGAAGTTTTTTGTTCGACGCTGAAAAAAAAAATTTAGTTATTAACAAGAAATACATATAGTAAGTCAAGTCTTCAGAAAAAATATAATGCATTTCCAAATTTTGGTATTAATAAAAAAAATTATATCCTCTATTAACAATCTCTTTGTTACGTAGAGCTACCTCGACTAAAACATTTCTTACTATCTTACTAATATTATAAATTCGAATGTTTAGATGGATGGATGGATGTTTGTTTGAAAATATCTCTAAAACGGCTGAACAGATCGCGATGAAATTTAGAATTTAGGCACATATATAGAACATAGTCTAGAAGAACATATAGTTACGATTTTTTTTTATTTGATGGTCGATTTTGAGTCGCCGGCGACAGCTAGTCCCCACATAAACATATTGTTATCATTGTTCAAATAGAATAAGAAAAATGTCGGTCCAGTCCATATGTTTATAAACATTTATTCCAGCACTGGAAACTAAGTTAACATAATTGTATAAAATTACAAAAATATACTTATGTAATTCTTTCGCTAAGAGAAACTTAATCAAAGCGCTGTGAGACATTTACGTTGCCTGTCTGATCGTTAACATCATATTCCTTGTAGAGAAAGCGGCTGGACTTGTTTAGAGCTTGTGAAGAATTGTTAAATAATTAGACTCGTAAACGATGTGATACAGTCTTATAATTGTCGATATTAAAAAAATAGTCTAAATTAAGACTACTATAAGGGACCTCGGACTGCAAGCAGTCAGCGTGTCGCCGGCAGCATTTTGTAACTATGGTTTTTCAAACGTCGAATATATAAGTATAAAACAGGATTGCTATCTTTTTCATTCTGTGCAAAAAAACAGAGACAAAAATATAAGTCCCAGCAGTGGAAGTTCATGATAACGATGCACACACATTGCTGTTGCTGCTGTAAGTGTTGAAACCAAAAGAAACTAAATTATTAATTAATGTCTTACATTTAATAGTATGTAAAGCTGAGCGCACAGCGAGCGCAGTGGCTGGAGCGGAGGCTGCACGCTCAACGGGCACGACGCCCGCGTACCGCACCTCGCCCTGTTCTCCTGCCCCGCGTGCCTCGCGCCACCACCCCTCGCCTTCGCACTCTGCAAGCGCCCATTCCTCACATAGCTCTGGAAAATTACATACAATTATACCATTTTGGCGTCTTCTTTTATTATCAAGCTGCGTCCAAATGGTTTCGAAGGTGAGGGAAAGTTCCTTTACAACTTGATGAAACATAAAAGTGTAAATTCGCAACATTTCGTACATAATTGCGAGCCGTCATGAATTTTGGATAGCATTACAAGTTGGTGAAACTATTAAGTAATCACAGGATATCGCTAAAATAGCGAAGTGACTAGCTTTTAAGGTTGATGAGGAAATGAGGTGACAAAGTTTTCAATTCGTGTGCTGCTCCAAATGTCATAAGGGTCGTCCGTACAATTTAATAAAACTTTCTCAGCTTGCTTGCCTTTATATAAAAAAACATGTTTGTGTATTGATACATCTTATTGTATCTTAATTTAGACATTTATTGTATTGATACGTTATCTAGGTCAGACCGCGATAGCACAACTGGGCCAGGGGTCGGGATATTAGGCGCAATAAGACGGAGCAGATCACAGATTACAACCAGTACTAACTAGCTATTACTAAAGAGCAAACAACGAAATTGCGCAGCATTTTAGACCATCCTAGAATGTATAACTTTATTACCTATTAGCTAGAAAACAGAAATAAATGGAGTAAAAACCTCAAATGGCTTTAATAATATTTAATAGATCTACAAGCTGTCACCCGCGACTCCGTCCGCGTGTTTTAAAAAACACTTAATTGCCTATGTTTTCTTCCAGGCTATGTTCTAATTTTATGCCAAATTTCAGCGAGGTCTGTTGAGCCGTTTTGGGGATACCTTCCAAAAACATCCATATAACATTCTGGAATTTAATAATTTTATAAGTCATCAAAATTGAACTAGATTGGTGTTAATTTTATGACCTGTAATATGCCTTGGATACAAATTGACAATATTACAGACAGGAACAAAAGGATGTTAGCTCTTTCTCACTCTTATTATATTATCTCTTTCTCTTTTACCTTCATGTACCGCTAAATAAACCTGGCAATAATGTTCCAGTTTCTTTCATCATGAAAATCATCTTTTTCGTTGTCTATGAACTACATTTTGAAAGCGCCTTCTTTTGTTTTTAAGTTGATTGTAATAAATCTATCTGGTTCCTTATTATAAAGAAGTCATCAACACTCGATGCGACAGTTCATTCATCGGATAAGCATTTAAATGCGTTGAATGACGATTTATGTCTTTGTTTGTACAGACATTAAAGAGTCAAAAGTTCAAATCTGCTATTAATTACGTTATTAATATAGGAAATACTTATTCGCAATATATATATCTTCGCTTGGCGTAATTAAAACCTTTACGTACCAATCTTAAACAAGATTAATAGTTAAGAAATAACAATTATCTATTTCAGTTTTATCTTTACACGTACATGACTACATCAAATTCTTTTATACCAGAGAGAAAAAAAACGATAGAGATGTAGAGCATACTATAGCAAAAACAAGTCTTAATATGTTACTGTTTTCTTTCAGAGTGTAAAGAGTAACAAATCGCAATCATCGATACTTAGAACTTAATAAATTATTTATCAATCGAAGAAATGTTGATTGGACAGATTGTGGAACAGCATTCCTTTTATTATAACAGGTGTAAGCAGAAGTAACAGTAGAGAGAAGGAATTATTGAAATGTAACCTTAAAAGGCTAAGAATATTTCTTAGTATTACGTTGCGTTTCCACTGAGAATACATCGATACAAAACATTCCTATCCTTCGCTTTAAAAAACAAAGATAATATATTGTACGAGTGTAAGCAGAAACCCATAATCAAAGCACTGTATTTTCCGAAAACAAATTATTTGGAATTTGATGTAAATATGTTATCTACCAAGGCCAAACAATCTTAATTTTTGTAACCATGAAAACAGTTTACTACATAATATCAACATCTTTAAATGACTAATTTGTTTTATCTGTCTTTCGAAATACGGTTGAAAGTTAGCATAACTTTATGAGAACAAATACTAATTATTTAGCTAAAAATTCGTATGACATCTGTGTTCATGGAGTTTATACTTCAACGGTAACTAAGGAACAGTTTTATAACAGTAGTGGTAATTCACTTTTAAATCGTACTTTCAAGCTCAATAAATCTGTAACTAACGGCAACATATAGGTCAATCATTCCGTTATAAAAAGTCCAATATTCCACAGATCCTGCTATACGACCGTGTTGTGACAAGACAACTTTTTTCCCGCCAATAGATCAGCCTTTTACGTCAATCTAGAGAGCTCCCAATTCCGACGTACTTGGAGAGAAAACGCACACGCTTGCTTCGAATGCAACCGCCACCCAACTTGGAATTTTTAATGGAATCCAAGAAAAGTTGTAGTGATTTTTTTTTCAGCGTATTTCAAGTAAATTATATTAGCTTTTCGTCTAAACTAAGTTTTTTGATGTCTTATTCTCTCTGGAAAATGATTTTTGTAACTGACGCAAGGTGAAGAAATGAAAGTTACGTATGAAATTTGATTTTTAATCCTAATTGTACGTTTTTCAAGATATTTTATATGGTCTAAAGAAGAAAAGTAATAATCAATTTTTAATCTAATCTAACCTTTTATAAACTATATTGGCAGCATACTAAAATGTAACGAAAATTTTGTAACTTTAAAAAATGTATCATGTTAATACAATTTAGGGAAAAAGTAAAAACTTACTTATAATTGTTATTCTAAGTTAAAAAATATTTGTTTGGAATAATATAAAATAAATTTAAAACGAAGCTTATACAGAATTAATTTGAAATATTTTTATCTAAAAATTTTATCTTTTTTTTATTTAGTAATAAACATTACAATTAGGTAAAATGAATATTAATTATATTAATATTTTGCGGTATAACAGCAAAAAGAATAAATCTTCCTGTTTATTAATAAACTGCAAAATGAATTAATGTCTTTTATTACGTATTTATATTTAAAAAAAAACCGTAGTCAGAAGATGTAGGTATTATACTAAAAAATATTTTGCTTTCGGGCACTTAAAAGATTAATTTGTAAAATTACAGTTTGCCAGTATTTCATAATAAAAACATATTTCATAGAGATATAAATAGAAAAGTAATAAATATTTTAACTAAGTTAATTTATAATCATGTATCTTTTAAATTAAGACATACATATTATATAAAAATTACTTACTTTTGTGTTTGGAATGTGTTTTCAACATTTTTCTCAATAGCGTCGCCATTTGTTTTATCAATAAACTGTTTATAACTTTATAAAAGCGGTTATCCCGCTCGAGGTCTCGATGTGACTGCGACTTACGCGCGCCCTCACTGCACATCCACCCCGTCCTATGACCTCCTGGTACAAAGACTAAGTAAATCCGCGACTTTACTTACACCATTTATCTAATGAAATGTTAAAAAAGATATAATCACAACCACGCTATGCTATGACCTCCTGGTACAAAAAAAATAGCTACACTCCCGACTTTGCTGGGATAATTGAATTCTCTACTCCATAATCAAGTCATATCAAACCCAAAGCAAAGAAAGACAAAAGATAAACTTTATTTTCTTTATAACTGTGCTGTCAATTGTGAAAATAGCTTCTTAAATCTGAGTGATAGTTAAAGAGATTAAAGGCCCGTTTAGACGATTCTAATTTCTTGTACCAGAGCATTAATTGAATACAATAACTTGCGCGCATAATTTTCCTTTAGTTGTTTAGACTTTACAATACATTTATTGCTTCAAATAAATTTTATACAACAAGCAACTTGCATCGTGTGACTTTAATACATAAATCGACAAAACATTTGGCTTTATTATAATGATTTGAACGTGGACATGTGAACTTAATATAACTTTCTCAGCCCTGACTTATTGTCCTTGAAATTAAAGTTCATTTAAAATATTTGTATTATATTATCGTTTAAACAATGGTCTTTTAGTAAAAATTATAACAATAATCGCATTGTAATTAACTTTTATAATAAACAATGGAATCAATTGACCAAACTCGAATACGAATCCCAAGAATACATTTATCAATATTTTTCCCAATTATAATATTGTACGTGTTCCTTATCTGTATTCGGGGAAATTCGAATGGAGATATATCAAATTGGCGTCGATGTAAGTGTGAGTTTTCACTGTGGCCAAACTTGTATAAAAATATCGCTTTAATTATCCTACTAAAGAAAAATATATTTGTACACTAGTTTTACGGATTTGGAAAATCACAGTTACAAAACTTTACACTCATATATTATTTAAATTGTTTAAGGAAAGTTCAAGCTAGAACGATAATTTGTTTGTTTTTTTCGTCAACAAAACACAACATACATTCTTCGGAAATAATTATAATATACAGGATCCTGATGCAAACAGTGGCACTGTCCTATCATGCCTGACGCAATATCACAAGCTTTTACTCTCAAACCGACCGACCCGACTCCGTCGAATGCACACCCTGCCAATCTTTTTTGCTGCAAAATAATTACATTTAAATAATCAAGGATGAGAAACATAGTATCGATATAAATTTTTGATGGCTGCCATAAATCTACTAACTACGATATTTATTAAAAAGATTACAATTATGATAAAACTACAAAATAAAATTTAATTTCTTATTTTATAATAGCAAATGTCTTCTTTAATAATAGCAAATGTAAAAATGTCAAAATGTAAGGAGTCTAAAATAAATTTTAAAAATGATTACAATACCTAGTAGGTATTTTCCACTTAGATGGATGTAGACAAACACATCCATATACTGTTTTAAAGGTAAGGAACAGTATTTAATACTTACTAACAAACTTTTAATACTAATATCCTAAATAAACTTTTATCTATTAATTTTTTTTAAGCTCTATAAATTTATTTATTTACATCCTTATTTCTATGAATACATAAAGTCTTAAATCTATGATATAAAATAAAATTAAAAAAAAAACGAATAATTAACTAAAATATGTTAATAAAAGGAGTCCCTTTAGGCAAGGTCATATCCTAAATTGTATCGATATGATCGACATCCTACACTCCACATCTCTCGGCAAGTCAATGTAAATTATTCCGCAACGGATAATGATATGGTCCAGTGTAGTTTCCTTAATCATTTCATAGCAATTTCGTTCTATTTTGCGCAATTTACGCATAGAGCTCTAATGACTTTCAGTAGCATTTAGAGTTAAAGATTATTAACCTCTTTAAATGTTAGCGCCTAATAAATATCGCCACATTAAGCAAATCTAACGTTACGAAAGACTCAAATGTCGAGGTACAAAGAAACTATAACTGTTTAAAGATGTATTATGTATTTTAATTTAATAATTATATAATAATATTTTGGTTGCACAATAGTTTATTTTGAGAAAAAATAATACTTAACATCGCTTATCTTACAAATATTTCATGCATATAACATTTCTATGTTTTTTTTTAATTATAATTCTACAATATACAAAATAGGCATTTATAATTAAAATTTAACGAGACGAAGTTATTACAAGGTCGTTTAAATATTCAAAGAATACACACTGTCGGATAAAATTATATACTTACGCCTGTGTGAATGCTATAGCAAAAGCGCACAAGTGTCATTTAACAGGCGCTTGAAAAGGATCACCACGGTTTATGTAAAAAGTGTTTTATAATTTATAAACAAGTTTTTTCAGCACTGACGAATATCTATTGAGTCCTTAACTGGATATAGTCTTAATGCTATACCAAAAATTTCCACTACCCATACCTGAACAAAAACAACATGCCATTTTTCAATACAATAAGAAGAATGAAAATATGTTTTTTCTAGTAGTATCACAGCAGTGCAAACTCAATCAGAAGTTCTTTCAATGATAAAAACGTTAAAATTTCTTCCACCTATCTTCTCATCCTTTCTCTTCCTAGTTACCGACTGAGCCGTGGTTCGGCCTCAGCCTTCGACTTTCAGCGCAATAAATTCAAATCGTAGTTCACGCCAAGGGGCTTTCGAGCAAGGTTCCTTCCGGTCACGCGACAAAACTTAATCTTATTGACATTAATTACAACTTATTCATTTCTAACTTGTACCATGAACATTTGCCATGTATAGTATCAGGATTTGAACCCATTACATAGTAACATAATTCTTTTCACATTGTTGTTGCTAAGCTATATCTTTTATACCACAATCGCAAAACAAACCTTATAATTTAATTTAAAAGACATTTGTAAATAAGTTTGTGTTACAAAATTATTTAGAAAATAATCATAATAATATTTCTAACATCGAACGAAACTATTAGTCAGATGTGCAATTTTTTCTTTTTCCCATCACCAATTCAAGATTCAAGCCATGCAGACGAAGTTTACTCATTCAAACATAGAACATAGAACATACACTACAAAACTCTCCTTCAAAATCAGTTGGGTGAAACATATGTACAAAAACATGTACCAACAGAACACACAGATCGTATGCGTGTACTCAAGCCGACTCATTTTGAGCAACTAAAATACGATTACGAACATGGCTTTGGTCACGCATACAGCCAACTTGACCCAAAATCCCCACCGATAGCTTCTCATTTCCATGCCCAAAAAAGGCTTTCGATTTCAATTATAAACCCTGAATAATTTTTTTATCTATGTTGATTTAATTTGTTGTATTAGGTAATAAAAAAAAAAACAAATTAATCAAAACATTTTTTATTCAAATTTATTTTGTCGAAATTAAAATAAAATTATTCAATAATATTTACAGAATATATATAAAATATTTCGATATTATTTTTCCTAATTATAACAATATCATAGCATCCATATTTGGATAAAATCACACTTATGTTTTTTCTGTAACTAAAACAAAAAAAAACACTCTTACAAACCACTTTCACTGAGAACAAATTGGTCCTAAGCTAATAGAAGTTTTTGTAACATTCTAACACAAAATACAGAAATTAAAGAGAAATAATAACAATGCAATAATTTAAAATACCGAAGAGAAATACTCAATACCTTTCATACTGAGGTATTTTATGGCTTTTTTTATTTCGCTTTAGGGCGATTTTCACCATTACTGAAACACTACAAAACTATATAACTCACATTTTTTATAAGAGAATAAAGTAATAGAAGATTGAATAATTTAATTAATTTAATAATATTCTAGTATCTTTTGTTTCGGGCTCTTTTATTTTCATTAATATGGCAGAGAATAGTTTATTTGAAAGGGAATATTCATTACGAATTTCATATACAAATAGTAAGTTCTCATTTAATTGTGTTATTTGGTTATTAAATCAGGGTAAGTAAAAAATTGTATAATATGATGAAACAATTACTATTGTATAAGTTCATATAAAAGGCAAATCATCTACAATTACTCACCATGTGACTTTGTAAGAAATTGTAATCATAATTATTTATAGTAAAACAAAACATATATTTAAACACCATAAAAAACTTGACCACTTCATTAATACATAGATCATTGTAGTAGAGCGAAAGGTTTCATGTCCATTCTTTAACATTAGTTACTTAATGTTATATAAAAATTACATAACCATTAAATCATTGTTGTTATAACTTTCTATGTATATTACGGATTGTTCAGTTTAAATTACTTTTAAAAATTAAAACTTTTTGATTAAATGATATTATGTTATGTACATTTTTTGGTTTTTTTATTAATTGTCGCAAGTTTATAAGCTGTTCAAGTAATTGTACATCATTAAAATTAGTTAAAGGGACAAAAACAAACATAGTCTACAACATAAATCAGAGCTTTTCATAAAACATCATTTATGTACAGTCATCTGCATAAATATATTAGAATGCATAAATATATAAACATTGTTTCAAAAGTATGTTGCTGTGACTGTCCGTATGCTTTCAAACTTTGAATACATGTGATTTATAGATAAGTGCATACATATTTATGAATATCAAATCCGATACAAATTGCAAAAGTTTTGTAAAGGCGTTCATATTTATGTAGCTGACTACAAATGAAATGTAAATTTACTTTTAGTTTATTCTAATTTTCCCTTAAAGTATTTGATTGTAACATTGTAATAATTTCATACTTTAAGGACTGCATTAAATAATGTTGTGAAACAACATAAATATTATAAGTTTTTTTATTTTTAATTGAATTTTTAGTTTATTAGTTTGTAATATATTATCACAGATATTAAAACTATTGCCAACATAAAACAAAATAATTTTACATAGGACAGTTCATGAAATAAGTCAAATTTGATTATGAAAAGAAAATACATAAATAGAAAAATTATAACTTTATTAATACAATAAAAAGTTTAGCAGTTCATTTACATATTCTCTGTTCTGGAATGAGGTAAAATATTTACCCAATAGATTAAATTTACATAATTATTTCACCCTATCTTAGCCATCCCTTAGTTGTAGAGTTCATTTATTACATTTCTAATATATCTCTGAACTTGTGACTCCTTAATTTATATAATCTTTGATTATTTACAATTCCTAACACTATTGTATTAACTATCAATTCTCTCTCATTTCAGTCAATTTGCTTTCCATTTTAAAACATTAATCAACCAATAAAAATTCTATAATTGTTAGTTATTATAAATGCTAAACATTCAACACCATAGGATTTATGGATAAAATCTTTTTCACAGAAGGTGGAAAAATAATAATATTATAAATAATTAAATAAATCTTAATTATCCATGTGCTTATTAATTAAAACTTATTATTATTTAGGCAGTCACTTCACCTCTGTCTTCACAGGCACAGTCTTTTCTGCGGCTTTATTAGGGGGAGGTTTTGATGTGGATCATTTTTTCTTCCTATCCTGTGTACATTTAGGACAGTACCATTTGCCTTTGGGCTTTATTTTAAGATCCACACAAGCAAAATGGAACCACTCTATGGGGCAATCAGGGTTATCACACCCTATCATCTCTCCGTAAGACACCTGGTGGCAGAGGCAGTAAGTGGGCTCGTTGGGATCCACAGGCATGTCGAGGACATCACTCGGATGTGCCATGCCAGCAACAGAGTCCAAATCTGCATTTTCTTCTTGTTCCTTAACAGCATTTGTAGCAGTAGTTGCACCTTTCCTCTGTACTTTCTTCTTCGCTGCCGATCTGCCATTAGCTACTGCGTCATCCTCACTCGAGGCGCCCGCACGTTTTTTCTTACCTGTAGACGCAGCTGCTTTTTCGTTGGCCTTATGCTTCTTTCTGCCCTTCTTTACAGTAGTTGTATTAGTTTCCGGGTCCGCGCCAGGTTGCGCTGTACGCGAACTCATTACTTTCTCTTGAATTTCAGTTTCGAAGCGTGCGAGGTCAGAGTCAAGGCGCCGTATGTGCTTATCTACCAACTCGTATGTCTGAATTGCCAGTTGGACTTTATCGTCCCCATACTCCTTAGCTTTATTAAATAATCCCTGAATAGTGTTCACCTTCTCTTTTTTTGTTTCATCGTCCATTTTTGGAATATTCGGCAATAATTCGTCGGCCATAAGATCGATTGTCCTCATTAGTCCGTGAGCTCGGTCATCGAGATCACGCATTAATTTAAAATTTCTTTGTAATTCTATAGGCAGATGTTGGAGACTATCTAAATAATGTTCCAAATAAAGTGCTGAAGTCATTTTGCAATATTTTGTAACGATTCCACTTTATAAATCACAAGTGCGATCGCAACTCGAATAAAGACTAAACTACCAAACGTACAATATCTTCTTGGTATTTTAAAAGTTATACTTTGATTCACCGCATTTAAACTATTTTGCAAGAATTTTCATTAATAAACTATCAAAGGCAAGTTTTTAATTTATCACCAAGTACAATACAAGCGCGATAGCAACAGCAAGCAGAGAGCACGAACGAATTATTTTACGTTCCATTACACAGATTTCAAAATTGCATTGTACGGTTACAAATGACAACAGGTCCTTCTCACTTTCAAAAAGTGAAAAAATATGTATAATTTTAGCGGAATAAATTAGCTTTACAGTAAATCTTCATTTTTATTATTTTATTGATATTAAACATAGAACCATTTTAGCGGTAATTCTTTAAAATGAAAATTACACGCAACAACGTTCCGTAACCTTAACATAACAGCGCGGGAACTTCAAATGTCAAATGCTCCTTGCACAATGACCATAAACCATAAAGATGCAACGAGTTCACAATAGAAGTGGCAAAACATTATCAAAATCATCTTAGCCCATCACGTTCCATCATATTTTATGTTTAAAATTTGATAATGAGCCAAATTAAATAATGGATAACAATTATTTTTTTCAAAAACATCCCAAAAATATTATTTGTACAGGCCAATGAACAAAACACTATTAACGTCGATAGAAAATAAGGTTGAGGGCTACTCTTCACCCAAAAATTCATCAGCGCAAACTTTAAATAATTCGTCAGGAATTTTGAAATATAGTTGCTGGCAACAATCCATGTTTCATGAGTGCCTAATTCTCAGTTCTCATTTATTCTCAATCTCAATTCTCATATCAAAATCTAATGAATAAGGGTAAAAATGAAACAAATACCTTATTTTTTATTGTATTAGCAAATAAACAAGATATAAAATATTTTCTTAATAGAAGTGACATGATGCCATAGTCCGTAACACAAAGCATATTTATGAATTACAATTTCGTTTATTAATGCACATTATAAAGAAAATGCTTTGTAAGAGTAAAAAAAACATCCCTTGTCTACTTCATTTTTTTTAATCTATGTACTGAAAGATTCTTGCAATTTCAATAATTATTACCATAATTAGAATAAGAACTAACAAAGGTATGCCTTTAAAAAATTTAATGGACTATTATAAAATTTCAGCGGTTACAACAACTCTGATTCAGTTATATTAACATTTAAAAAAGTCATAAACATTTAAAATCAAAAAATGCAAATAAATAATCAGCGTTTGCCGTGTCCTGGCAAAATAAGGAGGCGTTTACACAATCTACATAATATAAAACATGCTTTATTTATTTCTCTTACAGCTATAATTTACATTTCTTAGCGCTAATCACCATCATACGCGAATAAAACTACTATACTACATTGCTTGCTGCTCGTACATAACACACTGATCAATATCAAAGATTTTAATACATACATAGGCCCTTATGAAATGGAAATATATGTTTAATACATATCTTTGTTCAATGAGAAACATATATAGAATTTCAAATAAAGTAAACAGAACACAAAAAAAATCTCCAAAACTTCTACATATTGACCATAAAAGCAAAATTGTTTTGTTATTTTACAACCATCATGTTTTTATCACTACAAGTGGTATTTCATATTTTACCATCGAACATTGTAATCCCTGAAATCCTGTTATAAATACAGAAATAACAATATTTTTATGTAGAACAGTTGAAACTCATTTATCTGACACTTGAAATGATTAAGAAAAAGTACTTTCTGTATATAGGTGTTTGTTTTACCTTTTGTTAGTTAATTTCATGTTTCGACTGTCATGACACATATTGTTTTCTCTCTTTTTGTCCGAGCTGGATGAAAGGGATGACAATATGTGTCAATAGAAATGTCCATCATATAGCAACAAAGATAAACGCGTTCAGAAGTACATATGACCTATTTATGTATTGAAACCTTATCGACATAAAATTAAGATGAGTAAATTGCATGATTTAATTTATATTTGGAGACTCTTGAGTCTAGTTTCATAAGGTAAAGAGAACCTTTTATATACATAATGGTTATTAAATTACATTGTTAAATCGGATATTGGAAATGTCCAAATTACTTGTGATGATTCTTCCCAAATGGAGTTCCTTCTCCGGACACTTAACACATTCAATGCCAGTATGTTTTAAGTATTAAACACGAAGGTGGAATGCGCAGCAGTGAATGTGTTAAATAAATTTATAGACACTTAAAAATAAACTGAAAACTTAATTCTATATATAGGTTACACATCTACATATTTAAAAATTTGGTACATGTTCGTTGCTCCTTTATTAACATTATATGCAAAATATAGTTGCTTGGGCATTGAGCAACTAAATTGGAATGCATATTAAAACAATAACGCAAACTTTTTTAGCCATAGCTACTGTTTATAAAGTAAAAAAAAAATAGAAAAAAATAAAAAATATAGAATCTTAAATGTCAATTTCTAACCGATGTTTGTTTCCTAGATGAATACAAAATTTAAATACAAAATGGAAGCTAAGTATTATGTGATATGAATACATATGAAACAATTGGCACTACATATGCAGGTCACATATATGAAATTACAAAAACAGTATCCTTATGACTATGTATAAGTTTCTAAATATTATAGATCTAGAAGACATTCCCGTGGTATATTTATTTTCATCTAATATACATGTGATTGTTTAAATAAGGACATAGATTAAAATACATAGACAGGCCATTGTTTAAAAAATACACGGAATGTATGTCAAATGCAAATTTAATATTTAATATCTTAAATGACATGACAATGCCTACAGACATTCAAATTCATACACATTTAGCCACAATATAGAGATAAATAGAAAAAAAATGTTGCCTTCGTTTCCAAGAAATTTCATATTTCTACATACAATGTTTAAATTTAGAAAAAGGCAGATCTATGTATTAAAACCTTTGAAACTGTGAAATTCCACTGCATAAAAATTGTATTAAAACATGCCATCTCTGTTTATTTCAATGATAATAAAAGAGAAAACAGTATGTTTTCATGCAAGTTTTAATAATGGCAATCCATAGTTAGGAATACTTTCTTGGCAAAACAGTCAAAATGTCACCATTAGGGACATAATAATATACTATTCAATTCAATGATAGACTAGCAACTTTACAAAAAAAGCATAAAGTATTCCATTGTTAAAACTCATCATAACATATCAAGTTAAAATATAATAAAATCTCAAAACAGTATTTCACAACCGCTAATTAAGAGACTGTTTTCACAAGATGACAAACGTAATACCAACAAGCGAAGCACCATTCAATTAGATTGTGCTCAGGTGGGTCTAGATTCAAAGAAATAACTATTAAGATAGACATAAAACGCGTAATTGACTTAATTATAAACATAGGAGTTACTTCCGAAGCACAAACATGTAAGTTTTTCGGTAGTGAAAACCCACCCTAAGTCGATACATCAAGACCACGCACCAACATTTAAACATAAGTGCCAAATAAAATACATTATATGCCAACATTTATATTTTATAAAACGGGAAGAGTAGATACTTAACTACATCTAAATCTTGCACTACTGGTTTATCGTCATATTTTTGGTTTACATTCAAACATGCCTAAATTCATTCAAATCTTCATACAAACGTTCATATACCTAGTGAATAAACCACAGCTCAAACAATAAATATTAATACGATATAAATACATCAAACTGATTATGTGAATGTAATGTATAAATTACGTGTATGTATTCCATGCACTGCACCATTAAAACACAAACACACACTTGCCCGCTCCGTGTGCGAGACGGGTACAGAGTCAATATAACACACACTATCACAATTCTCTGTGCATGGAATAGGGCGGGCGATAGGGCTGGACAGACTAAACTAGTGTTTCGTACTTATCCAGGACGTGGCATTGATTGTTCTCATCGCCGTGAGAACGAGATCGTGGACGCGGGTTGGCCTCGGCCCCGGCGCTCTTGGCTCGAGTTTTCTTATCATGGCCGCAAGTGCAAGCCACTGACGATTGACGTTTTAATGTCTGCGCTCTGGTCCCCGCCCACTGCGGGTCACAAGACTCACTTCTAGCGTACATCTGACGTTTGTTCCTTCCCATTGTGGCATGCGAAAAGGACGCACTCTGACCGCTGTCGGATGACGGACGCATCGATTCACTCCTCCCACACAAGTTCCCCCCGGCTCTGCGAAACGAATCCAGCACCCTCTCCTCGATTTCCTCTATATCTTTTTTCTTAACCAGCCATATCTCTTCGGAGCCCCGTGTGAAGTAGCTAGACCCTTTGCTAACGGCATACTTCTCCTTGTTTTTAAATTTGCAGGTTTTAAAATTATTCTCAGTATTTACATCTTCGTTGATTTTGTGCATGTCTCGAGAGGCCCGCGCGGTGTCGAGTGGCGCCACGTTGCGGAAGGCGGTGCCCTGCGACGGAAACTGGTCGGGTACTTTAACGCCGAGGCTGGGCGACCTGATCATTACGTCGACGGGTGACGGCATCGGTTTGAATTCCGGCTTTATTATCTTTTGCGGTTCCGGCTTTTGTATGACTTTTTCGCCTTCCATCGAATTGCTTTCACTTTTCTGCCACTTTAGTAAATTTACAGAACTTCTTGTAATACTGTGCTGGCGTTCTAGTGTCGAATGATTTCCGTGATCTGTCGGTGTGTTTTTCCCGCTCAGCTCAAAAAATACATTATCTTTAAACGGCGTTGCGGGCGGTGGGAACTCCTCCTTGCTATCGGATCCCAGGCGCTCGGTCCTAGGTCTGCCGCGCACGGAGCCCGGCCGAGACAGTTTGCCTACATTAGCACTCGCATCTTCCGCTGCCTTCTCAAACTTTCTTATTTTATCCCCGACCCCATTTGATTCCTCCAGTTTAATTGCATTGTCATTATTTTTATTTTCAACATCAGAATTTTCTACAATTGTTTTCACATTGTCACTACTAGATGGGGCACCAGACAGTTGTTCCGTTTTTACTTGAGTTTCCTTAACTTCTATGGAATCCTTTTTTATCACTTTAAGTGGAATGCTATTATTTGTCTCAGTTTTTGAATCTGTTCTGTTTAACTTGAATGGGGGAGGCGATGTAATGATTTCTTTCTTTGTCGGCAATGAATGTTCTTTTTTTAAAATAGGGGACACTTCACTAACTGAAGTGGATGAAGATGTTTTCAATTGTAAAGGTTCATTCTTTAAAACCGGCGATTCTTTTTTGAACGGCGGAGAAGTGAGAGCTTTAAATACTGGAGAATCTTTGGGGTTGGCATCGGCCTTTAATGGTGGAGGTATTTTCTTTGGTGGCGTTGCGCTTTTCGATGGCGACGCACTTTTTGGTGGCGATGCGCTATTCGGTGGCGACGCGCTCTTTGGGGGCGATGCTCTTTTGGGGGGCGATGCGCTTTTCGGTGGCGATACGCTTTTTGGAGGCGATGCACTTTTGGATGGTGAGGCATTCTCTTTCTCCGCTGACCTCACATCTTTAGCCGGTGGTGAAATAACTCGCTTTAAGTTTTCCTTTGCTTTCTTCGCCTCGATATCTCGACTGAGGAATGAGGAGTTTCGTACGTAACATTCATCTGATTTCTGCTCGTCGTCCGTTTGCTCGCGTGCCGTGTTCTGTTCATTTTCCTTGATCTTGATGGGTACATGTTCGCCGGTGTCTGAGTGGGAGTGGGGGCTGTGGGGGGTGTACGGGTCGGGGGGTCGGGGGTCAGGGGGCGGCGTGGGCGGCGGGCGCGCGGGCTCGCGGCGCGGCGAGGCGCGACGTCACGCGCGCGGTTCAGTCCACTGGTCGGAGTCGTCGGAGTCGGAGTCAGCGCCGGAGCTGGTGTCGCTCAGCTCGACGGCGACGCGGCGCGCCAGGATCGAAGCCACGTCGAGGAAGGCGGGCGCGCCGCGCAATGTATCGTATCGGCCGGTGTTCTCGTCGCAACGCTTCTCCACTTTGCGTAGTTTGATACCTATTGAAAAAAAACAGATGCATTCTAAGTTATAGTTTAGTTTAATAGTGAGGAAGTAAAACAATTTCCTAATTTGTAAGCTAAGCCAAACATGAATTATGAACGTTTTGAAGTAATAGTAAAGTTACCGTCTCGTATGGCCTTGAGCAGGTCGGAGCGAGGGTCCGCGTGCGGAGCCGCGGGTGGGCGCGGCTTGAGCGCAGAGGCGCCACGTAGCAGGGCGGCAGGCGATGGCGGGCGCGGGCGGTCACCAGGCGCAGGGGGTGCGGGTGGCGGCGCGGGAGGCGAGGGCGCCGGCGGCGGTGGCGGACTCATCGGCTCCTCCGTAGACATCAACCCTGCGATAAGTTAAAATTATATTAATTTGAAGACATTCTTTTTCTAATTATGCTTCATAGCAAGCATTAAAAATTAACCTATGACTGCATGCATCTGATCAAGATGTGCATCGAGCGCTGTGCGGTGCGGGGGCGACGCTCCATTGATCATGGGCGGGGGTGAAGCACCCTCGGGCGGCGGCGGCGGAGGAGGTAATGCCGACCTGAAAGTATGATACATAACAAATTTTAAAAGGACGCCTTAATCAAGCGTAGGCACTCCACAAGGTGCCAGAGGCAGTTTTAGAGGCTTTGAAGTGTTGGTATGTTACCTTGTGGGAGTGAGATGTGCGGGCTCATCTGGCGGTGGAGCGGGAGGTGCTGGGGGCGGAACTGAAGGTCGCGCGCGGCGCGGTGTACCAGCGATGCTGCCGCCGTAGATTGGCTCCGCGGTCCCGTATGGACTTTCCTCCGCTACAACTGCATATTAAATGTTCGATAATATTTTTTTACATAATTTAATTCTACAAAACTTTATAATTTCTTGACAGCAACTTTCGAGACATAAAGACCACAAGTTAACTTTTAACCGTAGTTCAATGTGTTATTACACTAACCATGTCCGTTGCCGGTGAGTCGGGGTTGTCTGTTCTGTTGGTTCTCAATCTCAATAGAGTTAGGTCTGGCGGGCTGAGTCGTAGGAGGACGGTTCTGTGGCGCTCTGTACCCACCGTCCGTCACATTCGTGGCTGTAATATATTAAAAAAAATAGTGCTTTCACTGTACTCAAATAATTTAGGTGGTCTCAAGGCCCACTACTTTACTGTAATTTGTACTGAAAAATGTAGTTTTATTTCCAAAAACTATCCTATAACTGTATACGGTACATACTCTGATATAGCGGTTCTCGATAGTGTGTCTCGATGTTATAATGGCGTAGCTGGCTGGGCGCCATGATGTGTTCTCCGCGCGTCACCGCCTCCGCCTTCTGCCGCTCGCGCGTCGAATGCGGCGTGCGCACGCGCCGCGCGCTGCGACCGTCCGCGTTGCCACTGCGCGGTTGACGAACCTTAGCACATAAGAAAAAATTATGTAGGAAAATAAAGCATATAAAAAAATACACAGTAAGGTAGAATATGAATGTAACTGAAACCAGACAAATTAATATTAAGTTAAAGTTACCTGCAACAAATATTTATTTGTCATCATAAATTAAAATTTTAAGCGGTAATACGTCATACTTATAAATGCGAATGTTTAGATGGATGGGTGGATGGATGTTTCTTTGAAGGTATCTCCAGAACGGCTCAACAGATTTTGATTTTTTTATTTGAAAACTTAGTCTGGAAGAACACATAGGTTACTCATTTACTTTTTTATTATCCCGCGCGCGCTGTTTTTTTTATTATTTGAATCATACCTTCTTCCCCCTATCATGCTGAATACGTTCAGTATCTTGCAACATTTCCCGTCGCCATAGCTCAAAGAAGTAATCCGGATCTGTATAGAACTTGCGAGCGTCGCGGCCGTCGTCACGGAACTCGTTTAGCTTCTCGAGCGGCGGCGGGCGGTCGCAGCGCGCGTACGTCGCCAACATAGCCGACGGCATCGAACCCCGCGAGAACAGCTGCTGCTGGAACGTGCGCGATGAACGGAACGCCTTGCGCATCTGGATATCTTGCAGAGATACTGAAATACATACATTGATATTTTTAATCATACTAATATTATAAATGCGAAAGTTTCGATGGATAGATGGTTTGTTAGAAGGTACCAACAGAACGGCTCAACGGATCTTGATGAAATTTAGCATAGATGTAGAACCGCGCGGAGTCGCGGACGACAAGTAGATGTTTCACTGATTAAGTTCATTCAAAATGTTTTTAATATAATCTAAGATTTTTTCTCTGACCATTGAATTGATTGAACTTATGCTACTTATTTCATGTTTTTCTGATAATTTTAACATCAGTCTACTAACCTTCCTCAACGCCTGAGTCCAACTGCGTGACCTTGATAGCCAGCCTGTCTATTCTTGCCTGCAGTATATTCGTCCGCTCCGCCAAGTCGGTGGCTTCTCTCGTCAGCTCTCCAAACATATCCTCCGCATGTTTCGACAATGAAGACAATTGTCTGCAAATTATCATTCAACAATACTTACCGTTGGTTTCTGACACCAAAATCAGCATAAAACTCATCTTCGACATAATGTTTTAAACGGGGATTTTGGTATCAGAAACCTATTATAAAATGATAAAACGTTGTTCGAGGCTTATGTATTTATACTGCCAATAATCCTATTTGATTCTTCGGCCATGATATGGACTAGGTAATGTATATTTGTGTCAACATTGTAAGACACTGCAAGGGCATGACAATAATTATGTGTCATTGCATCTATTGTGTTATGCATTATCAGACAAACGGTCAGACTGGACAGGTTACCTAATGCCTTAGTATCATAAATATGAATTCGAGTTACGATTTAAGCCAAGGTTTATTCAGTTATATCACATAACAATGACCTAAAGTGTGATTTGGTGATGCTTTGGCCTAATTATTAACATTTATTTCGCATCTCTCTATTCCTCTTTTGTTTTTAAAAGACCTAACTAAGTAACCATTTGATTTGGCATATCGCGGAAAAGTGTTTTCTTACTGATTTGATGTCATATTGTCTTGTACCTGACAGTGTTGGCGAGTGTGCCGTTGGTGACGGCCTCGAGTTCGGACGGCACCGCGAGCCGCTCGGGCACGGTGCCGCGCGACACGTGCACCGGCTCGACACAGCGCTTAGGCAGCGGCATCGCTGCGGCGCCGCCGGCTACCTACTCTGCATCACTGGAAAAAATAAAACACATACGTCAGTTACCGTTGGTTTCCGAGACTGATATCTCTATATAAAATATCGTCATCCCTGTCATTATCTTTAGGAAAACGAGGTTAACAATATGTTATGTACGCGGAATTTGGTCTTAAAACCCCACAATTAATTACTCATTATGTACGTTTAGACCCAATTTTCGCTTATCGGCTAATTTGCGCGTAGCCATAATTCATATAGACTCGTGTGTGTTGCGTTCTTTTCTTTTATCCTCCATTCAAATCTTGTTTGTATTTTTTATCGTTTTAAGACCGTGTAAAGTATTATAATATATTGTCTTTAACATAAAGGCAATGAAATGAATGATAATTTAGCGGTAATACGCTAAATCGGATAAGTTTAATAATCGCGTACATATCAGTGAAAACGTTCAATTTATTCATAATTCTACATCATATCGTTATGCATGGCTCACTCGGCGTGCCCGCTGGATAGATGATAATAATTAACAATTAACAACGAGGAACCGATGGCGGGAAGTGAAAACCAGGAAAGCAGCAATTTGTAAAAACCTTTCCATTTTTGCATTCGTTCTCTTTTTAATATTGTCATACACGAATAGTCATGATGGATTTGGATATTCCGAATAGTCATTAGTCACTTAAAATAAGGACAGTTTGTTTCTTAAATACAGTGGCTTGGTTGTCGCGTCATATTCTCGACCAAATAATCTGTGATGTAGGGGAATCTGTTGTACACATAATTTTTCGAACATCCTGTATAAAATCAACGCTTCTATGCTTTTTAACACGTTCTTACATTCATGAATGGTATAGGATGTTCTCGAGAGCCTTTTTAAGTTAAATAAAACTTTTCTCCTACACAGTATAAGTAATCAAAAAATTAAAATGGCTAAAATATGACATTGCAGTGCTTCAGCTTTAGGCAACATCAATCTTATCTTACTATAAATACGAAAATTTAGATAGATGTTTGGTTTCAGGTATCTCCAGAAAGACTCGATGAAATTTGGCATAGATGTAGAACGTAGAACTAAACGTAACAATTTTTATTTTATTTTAATTTCGCTCAGACTGAGTCGCAGGCGACAGCTAGTACTTTACAATGATTGAATACTATATAAAAGTGAGCGATAAATCATAACAAGTGCAAGTTCAATAGTCTCATTGCATAGTATTCCCGCGTATTATGATCGTGCGTTGGTTACCTACGTAGATTGTAGACGTACCGCGATGTTGTATTGTAAACACGCTCACGTATTATCTATAGCGGAGAGTGGATCATTATATTTGCAGTGATTCAATGAAGGTTGCGAAATTGCGTTAGCATCATCTTGTTCTATATTAAAGAGTAGAACACATTGTATGGCTCTATAAAAAAGACATTTTAACTTCGTGACAAAATGTGCAGAGTAAAATAGTACTGACCTTAAAAATGCAAAGAGTTCATCTTTTAATATTTCTTACTAATATTATAAATGCGAAAGTCTAGATGGTTGGATGTTTGTTAGAAGATATCTTTAAAAC